CCTACATTTTTATTTCATATTACTAAGCAGCTTTAAAATGCAAGTTCGTATTAATTATAATTAGAAAAAGTCAATTTTTGGAAGAAAAAAATCAAAGAGTGGCAATGAAAAGGAAGCAAATCCAAAGACATTGGCCATCCTTTTCATGTGTTGCTCCTGCTGTCCGCAGGATGTTTAGGATACAATGTAATTACCAGGTTATGATTTGATGGGATAAAATATTTTGGCAAGCAGTAACTACACTCAAACAGAAAACCCCTCAGTCCTATGTAGAAGCTGAGTTCTGCAGAAGGTGGTAGGTGTGTGCAGATACAGTGCTGACAAACTGACCCTCAGGCTGTCACGTAGCCCTGTATTTGCAGTGTGTACTACTGGTGGACATCAACCCTGTCAGGACGGGGACATGCAGTGACCAACTGCTAAGTGTCACAGGTCACTGTGCAAAGCAGCAGTTAGACCTTAATGAAAGTGGTACCCTGGAAGAGATGTGGAAAAAATTAATTTGTCCTATCTTCCACAAAGGCTTACGTATTTGGCTGTCTCCACAGATATTATTCCAGAAGGGCCATTCCTACTTTGCATAGATGCATCGAGTAAGAACATGAATAAACACGAGATCTCTGAGGATACGCATGTACTTCTCCATGACAGAGATGGTTCTTCTCCTTCAGATTCCAATATCAGTGTCCCCCTTTGTAAAGACATCTTGATGCAGAACAGTGAAATGAATGAATGTCCATGTTCATCTGAAACAGCCTCTTCTAAAATGACTTCTGCTTTGTCTATAAGCTGTTAATCTTCTTCAGAACCACAATATACATCAAAGTCAAGATACATGGACATGATCTATGCCGGGTTAAATTTTCACATTGAAAAGATTCTTTCTCATACCTCAGATCACTATCCTGGTCTATTGGTAGTCTTTTATTTGGATCTGTCAATGTATTTGTCACCAAGATACTCCTTTCTGGATTTGTTCTAATTGTCTTCATTCTAATAATAATTGCACCAATCAAATATTGTATTAGTTAGTCATTGCATAAAAAACAAGTTGGCTTTGCAGATGGCTAATATATGGCAAGACTTTAGTCCAAAGTGATCCATCTCGACATAGAAAAATTGTATGCAAATATGTGTCACACACCTTTTCTTTTTTTTTTTTTTGGTTAGTATTTGGCTTTAGAAGGAATTTCTGCATTGAAAAGAGAGCTAAGAATGTCCTACAGATTATGTTTCACTACGTGCATGTGTTAATTTTACGCGTATGTATCACTGAGGAACTCTATTCCCTCAAATAATGAAAACTTTCAGCCTCTATGAGCTATTAATCCTTAAAGCTACGTATTGCTGCATTTTTTTTGGTGGCTGAAATTCTCGAAAGTAGTCTAGGGGATTTAGACACATATCGTCTGTTAATTCTAGTGGCAGACATTTATCTAAATCCCCTACTGAACTTTTTATTTTTAAAAAATTATTCAGGCTTCCTTTATCTGCTCACTTTCCCTCCATAATAGCATTGGCTAAGCACTGCCTGTGTTAAAAATATTACCTCTTGGTCACCCAAGAGATTAGACAGCTTTGTACCAGAGAAATCAAAAGGGTGAAACAGCTAGGCAAGAATTATGTAAGTATATCAACTGCACTGTATTTTTTCCAGAAAAGACTGTATCTTCAGTGGTGTGTGAGCATGTAGGGTGCACTGGCTGCCTCATATAGTCTGGAATCCTTCTGTCATAAAATAATGCTAACCAGAAAAAGCCCACAACTGCTATTGCTATTAATATTAAAAGCAACATTATTTATTTTCATGCAGTTTGCTCCTCTCTTAGTTCATCATAAAGTTCTTCTTGACAGATTTCAAGTAAAAAAAATATACATTTTTTCCCATTCCTCATACATTACAGTTTCTTGGAGAAACTAAAGAAATAAAAATCTCCCTCAGGAATAACCTTTTCTTTTAAGAGTTTTCTATCTTTTATTTCAGTCATTTTATATCTAGACTGCAGCAGTGGAAAGGAGAGGTCAAAGGGTGAAAACATCAATGCTTATGTAATCCCCAAAGAGGATTACTCCCCTTGCAAAAATGGCTAGTATGACATGTGAAATTAAGGATATTCATTCTGTGTCTGCACATCCCTCGTAATAGAATTGGTGAATCTTTAGAAAAATAGAGCAACATCAGAACAACTGTGCTTTTCCCATGGTATCAGCACAGATAGTATTAAAGCTCAAAACAGTTTTTCTAACCCGAAACTCGCCAGAGAGCTCTGCACAGCCTTCCTTCCTCTCCCTGTGCACTTCTGCCAGCTGAAGGATGACAGATATAAAGATTTATTAGAAATAGCAGAAGGAGCACCACTTGAATTTTAGCACTCCTATTAGTCTTGGCAAATATGCATGCATTGTTTTCTCATTTGGACCAGGGCTACACCCGTTCCCAGACGGATAAACCACATTTATTGTGTTTCCATGCCAGGATTACACAATCTGCCTTGGTCTACAACATGAGAATAATAAAAGCATAATGATTTTCATACACAGTGTTTACAGAGTACTTCATAGGACAAAAATCACTGGATAGATACTTTGTGAAATCATTTCCTGTGTCATTGAATTCAACAGTCAGACATGTTCTAAGTTTGCTAGAACACAATTCTAAGAAGAAACAATCACATGCCTCTGAAGATCTAGTCAATGTGCCAACTCAACTTCCAATAAAACTTTCTGGGAAAAAATGCAATTTCTTAGTGTCAGCAATAACATTTCAAAATGAATGCCTAATTAAATTGGTATTTATATATCACATACTAATGTACAACTTCTTAAAACCCAACAGGATACCGTCTGAGACATAACTTTGTATTTCCCAATATACGAGTCTGAAGATCTAGTCAATGTGCCAACTCAACTTCCAATAAAACTTTCTGGGAAAAAATGCAATTTCTTAGTGTCAGCAATAACATTTCAAAATGAATGCCTAATTAAATTGGTATTTATATATCACATACTAATGTACAACTTCTTAAAACCCAACAGGATACCGTCTGAGACATAACTTTGTATTTCCCAATATACGAGTCATAGT